CCTAAACCTGATTTAGTACAATTCAGGGGAAAAAGCATTTCTGGGTTTGTTTGTTGTTCAGGTAAAAATGCAAGGAAAATTGCTGCATGGAAACATCCTAGAACACTTACAGGATGGTGCTGGAAGGCAAAGTCTTGCAAGTCATGATATGTAGTATATGCAGGTCAGTCGTTCCCCTCCCCTGCCTTCACTCTCGACAGTTCAGTGGTGTTTTAACAGCTGCATAACATGCAGGAATTCATGAGGACTAATACACGTGATAGAACAGGATTAATTTTGGATCAGACTGGACCCTAGAGGTGTGTGGGAGGGGTGTGTGGCCACAATACCCAAGAAGTTGAAGCATCTGTAGTTCTTTCTTCCCAGTTTTTTGAGTCTCTGCTTGCACGAAATACTAAGAGGTTGTTCCTGTATTTTCCTGTAAAAGGACTATCCATCTCCTGTATCTGTCTCGCTTTCAATAACTAGAAATTAAACTGAGGACCAGATTAAATATGATGCCTGGAGATCCATTAACAGATCTCCCATGAGGTTTCTTAGGCTTAACAGCAGCAGCAGGAAGGCCCAGTTTGAATACTTTTCTCTCTACACATAGTTTTTACAGTGCAAAACCCACCCAACAAGCTGGCATATGACTCATGAGGAACATATATTGACCATATGGGTATCTGTTCATTACTCTGGTGGGTTAAATGCCAGTTCAACCCATGCTGCTTTTAAGCCTTAATACAAAAGAGTTCTCAGCTCTACTGGTGATACACCTAGTTCAAGTTGAGATTCTCAGCCTGATGTGAAGAGAGCCTGGGTGGTGTGATTAAACAAGATGTACTGGGAGAGAAGACCTGCAAACAGATCTTGAGACCTTTAAAGTGGCAGGGAGGACACTGCAGGCTGTTCTTCTGGTGAAAATTACCCTTCCTGAACTACTTTGTAAAAAAAATATGTGTGTGTGTGGGGGGAAGAAGTGTGGGAAGGGCAATTTTCATTAGACAAATAGCCTGTGGGGAAAGAACCCCCCCAGCAACTGCTACAATCTAATTTGCAGCCCCCAACAGCATTTCAGTACAAGGGAAGGGGGGTATACAGTTTTGGGAGACTTTTCTTAAGTATCTTACATCATATGTCTGCTTTGGTCTTCGTCCACATCCATTGTTACTAGCCTCTTAAATGCATGCACAGCTTCCTAATGGATCTCAGTCCATTCATTTGAGAACTGTGCCCTGGGGGGGATCTCCACATGTGTCCCTATATCCAAATGCAAGGAATGATCTAGAACGCCATTCAGATAATGCTCATTTGAGCTTTATGAGCATGCAGACAACAAGGCAAAGAGTAGCACAACAGCGGACAGCGATCTTCTTGTCTCATTTTCTTCCCTGCACAGCAGGAGCCCCAGCCAGGTCTGGTTGCCTTAGGTGGTGGCAGTCACTGGTTCTGACATACTGTGGCAAAAAAGCAGGAGACAGTGGGGAGGGACATATGTCAGAGTAATAAAAGTAAGAAGAATCAGCATCTGAATCATTTGTGAAACTTCTGCAGAAAATGAGGGGAGAAATTGTGCATGTTCATTTCCTCATAATGACTAAGAGGCAAGAGTAGTGGTTCTCAGAACGCGGGTCAGGACCAATGCTCCCTCTAAGCTGTGGAGTCTTGTGAGCAAAAATTCTACTTTGTGAGCTCCTGGCAATTTGGCTACTGCATAAATTAGTTTGCTCTGGAGCCGTCCTTCCTGAGCGAAGACAAGAATGTGTGAGCCGGAGGCTAAAAAACTGTGAGCTAGCTCACACTAACTCAGCTTAGAGGGAACACCCAAAAGTGAGTGGGGAGTCTTTTGCAGGTGGGTTGCAAGGCCAGGAGACGAGGAGGAGGAACAACAGGGTGAGCTGCAAGATGAGGTTCTTTGAGGCTTGGTAGCAAATCTGAGTTTGCCTCTGCATAATGCACTAAGAAATACAGCCTATTAAGTAAAGCTATATAGTTATACTATACTATGAAAAATCATAAACTTGGTCTTTGTTAACCGATCTGAGATTACTATGCTTTATGTTGAGGAGGAGGAAAGTAGTATGCAGTTACTTTACAAATGGGTCCTGAAAATTACAGTAAATTTAGAACAGAGTCCCATGGGCCAACGGAAGATAATGGTGCCAGCAGAAAGAAGTTGGAAAAGGAATCAGTGGGAACAATTCCTGATATTTTTTTTCTTCAAGTCATAGCTGACTTAAGGGCCCTGTAGGATTTGCAAGGCAAGAGACATTTGGAGGTGGTTTGCCATGGCCTGCCTCCACAGCACAACCTTGGAGGTCTCCCATCCAAATACTAGCCAGGGCAGACTTTGCTTAGCTTCCAAGATCCGATGAGCTCAGGCTAGCCTGGGCTACCCTGATCCTAGAGGTCTTAAAAAATCTTGGCCATGCTCTGAATAATTTCTCAACCAGATACCAGTTTAAAAGGTGGTTTGGGCAAGGGCTTTCTCTGTAGTGTGGCTCTTAATGAAATAGTCTCCTCAGGGAAACCAACAATTACAGCTTTAAGTAATTCTGTTAAAAGCCTTTTTACTTTCCTCACATGGCCCTTGGTCTATGGAACCCCATAGCAAGGGAGCCTGCCTGGCAGCTCCATCCAGGTCTTCAGAACATTATCAGAGACCTTCTTACACAGGAAGATTTTGGGGTATTTGAAGGAAGTTGAGGCTGGTTCCTGTTGTAACTTATGTATTTTTCTGGAAGCGGCTGGATGTTTAACAATTATTTTTAACCTTGATATTGTCACTCTATCTTATTGTTATGTTAAATTGTGTATATTCTAAGTTAACAGGAGAACATAAGAGACGCCAATGTTGGATCAGGCCAAAGGCTTATCCAGTCCAACACTCTGTCACACAGTGGCCAAAAATACCAGGTGCCATCAGGAGGTCCACCAGTGGGGCCAGGACATTAGAAGTTGCAAGCCCATTTGGGCTAGTAACACACAGTATACATTCTAAAAATAAATTTATGACATTTTTAATTTAAGCTTTTTTTCTGGAATAATGCTGCTGTTTTGTCTCCTTTGCTGCTGCTGTTTGTTTTTATTTTGTTTTGCATTGCTATAAGTATGCTGCAGACTTACATGAGTTTTGCTGTGGACTCTCCTATAGAATCTTAGGATCTGTAGTTCATAGAGGTTCTAACCTCTATTATAGTTACCAACATGGATTTGTTTTTGATTTTTAAGTCTGTAGTATGCCTCGAGTGTCTTTGGACAGAAAGACGATAAATAAGCAGTATAACTAAATGCTAGCCTATCCTTTAGCTAAAGGAGAAAAGCGAGTATGCAAATCCATCTTTCATTGCTACGGAGAAAGAGAGAAAAGAAGCACTGAGAATGCCTATTTTCTAGCCTTTTATAGAAAGAGATGTTTCTTTTGCATCAACATAGAAATAGTAAATTACCTTGCTTTCTCAGACATGCTGATGTCTTGTGATCTAGAATAAAATGAATATTAAGATGACTAAAATGCATCTTTAGACAGTGTTATGTAATTACTACCCTTGTCCCAAAAGAGGACTGGCTCTGAAAGGGGAATTCCATTCTTTATTAACATTATGTTCTTATCAAGGACACCGTAGGTTTGAAACAATAATGATTTGGGTTAAACTCCATAGGTGTCTACCATGAACTGCCTCAGAATGGCTGAACTGAGTCTGTTCTGGGGGGCAGCTAGAGAATGGGGTAGGAGGTCAAGTAATTAGTCCAAAAATATGATTGCATAAATCAGGATCTAAATAGAAGGTTATTTTGGGAAGTGAATAATCAGTAAGAAAAAAATACAAGAGATTATGCTTCATCCAAGCTATTTTCCACTATGGAACAAGAGCTCTGCAGTCC